ACACAGAAACACAGACCATTTCGCGGGACTTGCTTATTTGGACTCAGGGGACCTCAAAACGTGTATTTCCGTTGAAAACTCAAATTAAAAAATTTTAGCGATCGCAATACTTACTCTTACTATATATTACATATATAAGTAAGCGAAAGTAAATATATATATTTTATTATTCTTATTTACATATTTTTATTTCTATCTAGGGAAATGTTCTTATTTTTTCTATTATTAATCATCCATTTTTTTTCATAGTTAATATTCAGCAATTTCTTATTATTATTATTACTAACCACATGACACTTAATTATTTAAAATAAACCATGTCAAAGGTACATTAGAGGAAGTCATATTGAATATTCGACATTTAAGCCCTGTGAGACTATATCGATAAGGACAAAACGTACTTTATAATAAAAACCACATATTTAAACATTAATACGAGTTCAATCAAAATTATTTTTCAAGAAAAATTAAAGAAAGAAAGGGTAAAATCAATGGTATAAAGTGACATTTCTGGTTACTGGATTTTAACGAAAAAGTTGCTCTAACGGCCCAAGCTTATTCATACCTTAAATAATTAATGTAATGTTATTTCACTTAGTTAAGAAACCTCGTTTTTGAGCTAGGCTGATAAAACGCTGAGATCATTTTACGATAGTTGGTAATTTGGTTTCAGAGGAACTCAGACCGCTAGAAACTTGGATTGGAAATGTTTCACGATCGCAATACTTTCCTTAAGAGGCGGATCTACGAGGAGGAAGGACTTTTGGGCTTATATATAACCATGTAAAATATAACCATGTCTTATGAAATAATATTAAAAAATTTCTTTTAAAGTACTATTGTTCATGTAATTACTTTTAATAAGATTTCGAAAATTCCTTAAATATTTTTTCACATAGATAGTTAGTTACTTTATTTTTCTTCCTAACAGTAATTATTGTCATATACATATAGAAAAAAAAAACATTCGAACAGAAGCTCCCGCCACCCAAAAAAAAAATGATATCCTGGATCCGTTAGTGCTTGCTATATATATTTCATATCTAGGTAAGTGAAAGTAAAAAATTAAAAGGAAAAATAAGTCGTATCATAACTACTATTCTAAGTTTAGAACCGAAATATCTCATAACCAGTTCCCAATAAACGCCCAAAAAGCATTTAAATCTATTTAGTTCAGTGAGGAATGAAAACTAAATTTTTTTTTAAAAGTGTTTTTAAAGAAATATATATATATATATATATATATATATATATATATATATATATATATTTATAAAAAGTGTTGTCCAGTGAGGCGGTTGAGAGAGTAGCGCAGTGATTTGGATTCCCTGCCTGATTGTTTATATTGTATATAGGTATGACTGTATTTTTATGTTTTTAATTTACTTATATTTAGATTATTTTAATTTTTTATTGTACATAGTTCTTATTTATTATTATTTTACTTTTGTTAATTTTATTATTTTTTTGTATATACAGTGTGAATGTGTTCATTAACAATATAATTATTGTTCCCGTGACAGAATATTATATGTCTAAATAAATAAATAAATGAATAAGTTAAAAAAAAGTGTTGTGTTTCGTCAAAAAATATTACTTTATCTTAAAAATTATTATTCGAATTCGAGAAATTGGTCGTATTTACAACAGAACACGGCACTACGATGCGATATTTGAAAAATTTTAAAAACTAAGAAGTTTTGCAGAAGAAATATCGAAAATTTAAATAAATTTCGTAGTAAATAGAAAACAGACAAAAATACTGTTAAAGTGAATGATAATCTAAGTTAAGAAGTGGTTGAAATATGAACGTAACCTAGGCTATCTTTCGCTAGGAATCTAAGTTCAAAAGAGATATTTTATGAATAGATGAACATTTTAAGAAATATTGAAATGACTTCTAAGACTGATTAGAAGTAAGCCCGATAGAGCTTCTGACCGCGCTATTAATAGAATGTTGTGTAATTGTTATTCCAAGTGAAGAGGATTTATCGCTCTTGGCTCCTAATTTCTAAATGGAATTAAAGTGCTAAAATTATATAACTTGAATACTCAAGTTCACGTGACCAGTTCCAATTTCAAATTTATATTCAAACTGCTTTCATGACAATAGCTCCTATAGCAAATAATGGCAATTGGAATTCAGCTGTTAGTTACAACTTGTAACATTCAAGGAGGTATGAGTTTAATCTTAACTTATACTCATGAATTATTTTTTTGTTTTTTAAGTTTCATATATTCATCATCACCTGTTGAAAAACTGTTGAATGGTCTGAAGAAATACTGGAAATGACATATCAGGCATGGAGAAGTATAGCACCCAGCAGTACTTCTTCGCAGACTTGATACCATTACCATGGTTTGTTAAGGTAGCAGGTCTCTTATCCAGCTCTTTTTTAGTCTTCTCGAATTAATAGGCATGTTAGCTGAAGCCATGTCTTAAATACATCATGAATAATTCGCATAATTCATTGGTCAGTGATCAACTGGTGATATAATAAATAAATTATTTTATAAGAGAAAGGAATTAATTATCTTTTCCTCGGTTGATTACAATAGTTCATTCAACATATTTGAACAAACAGGTGTACAAATTACAATAGGCTATATGTAAAAACAAATGTTTTCATTGGTTCATATTTATTACTGTGTGCGGTGTAATCTACATTCTTAAAACAATCGCAATATGTTTTATTTCTTCAATTATAACGCATATCAATTATACGCACTGATGTGAGTATAACTATGTCTAATGAAAAAAATTATCTCTAAAAGTATTATTGTTCGAGTAACTTTATTTTTAAGAATTTATTTACACTTTATATATATATATATATATATATATATATATATATATATATATATATATATATATATATAATATTTTAACAGAGTTTCAAGAATTAATCAAACATCATTCTATATAGGTAGTTTTCTTTTTTTCCAAAATAATTACCTATAATATGTACATAAACAAACGTTCAGGCTGAAGCCCCTCAAAATTAAATCCTTGATTCGCTACTGAACTATATATTTGGTGGAATACTAAATTTTATCACCAAATTAAGCCATCATTGGGTTTAGAATCATCGGAATCGAACCACTATTAGCGATGATACAGCTTATTCTATGTTTTACACATATTTTAACTTATTACTTTCCTACCTATACTAGGTAATGAAAGTAATACAATCGGGTCGAATTTCCGATATGCGGTTTTCGACGGATCTATACGTTTCAGAGCCCCTTGTGTTTTGAAAGGTAATGAAATTCCCTACAAAACTATATAAAAATCGTTAATTTTGGACAACTATGAACGATGTTACAGCTAATCGATTTCCAATGTAAGATTACGGGTTCATATCCTGGTGTAAGAAAGGTGTGAATGAGAGAATAAAGATGACTAAGTGAAAGTAAGAAAATCTGTTGCCCGCATCACACAAGCTTCACTATTTCCTTTACTTTTAACAGAAATTATTGTTTGACAATACTAAGCTATGGCAAAAAGTTTTTGATCAGCAATAGTACTCAGTACTCAGTTGACGCAAAATTTAATGCTTTACAATTTTGATTCTGTTGGTTTTTCATCTTAGGGAACTCATTTCCAAATTACAGGATCATTTATAGTAATTTGTCTCAGTTTTTGACAAAGTTGGTAAAAATCAGCGTTGGTTGATCGTAGTTTTATATCTTACTGCGTAACCAAATTATCTGACTTTTTTGGCCTTGGTGGCCCTCGTTTTTTTTTTTTTTTTTTTTTTTTTTTTTTTTTTTTTTTTGTGTGTGTTGCGTCCTCCCCTTCCTCACCATTAAGGCTATACACAGTTTTACCGGGCCAGGGGATGTGGGCGGGAATTTAAAAGAATCTCTCGGCACCGGGACGCGCAATCGTGACTATGTTTATATCATTTGATTCATATATCAGGTACACTTTCATAATTTACAATCAAACCTTCGCCTGCGATCAGGTCGACTATTGGGCACTGGCTCCAGGGCTATTTAGGCATAGTGTTCTATTCCCAAGTATTGAAAACTGTTATCATGTTACACTAACCTATGCCCCCAATATTTCTTATGTGGTGGCGCCAATATTTAGAATCTTTCTAAAGGGAGAACCTTTTAATACGCATGCAACTTTTTGTTTTTAAAATAAAAATCGACGAATTAGTGCATATGAGTGTAAGAATTTTTAACAAATCTAAATGTCCCCACCCCAAAAAAAAAAAAAAAAAATCAATACGGCCTATTTATCAAGGTTTTACTGCAGCTTCTCAGAGCCCGAGGTCTTGAGCATAAGGAAGTTAATACGTTAACCCCCTTTTTTTCCTCTCTGTTCTCTTCTCTACCTCACCATTTAGGCTATACGGGATTTTCCTGGGCCGGTGGGTGAGTGTGGGAAATTTAAAATCCCCTCTGGCACCGAGACGCGTTTTTTTTTCAATCTCAAAACTTGGTTATCTGGTTGCCCGGCAACTCGCGGTGCTGTGCAGACACGTCAGTCCCTTCGGCCACTCCGCCCCCATACCTTAATCCCCCGAGCTACCCCTCGCCCTCGTTTCCTACTGCTATTTCTTCTAGGCTTAATAGAGGAGGAATATAGAACGGGGCTTTCGGGCCGAATCCCCCCCTCTTCCCAAAATGGAACCATTTAACTATGAATTATGAAAAACATATTTTAAAAAATTCTATAAAAGTATTATTGTTCGTGTAATTACATTTTAAAAGAACTTCAAAAATCACTTAAACGCCATTTCATGTAGGTAGCTAATTTTTCTTTCAAAGTTACTAGCATTATACACATATATATATATATATATATATATATATATATATAAAGCTATCGGGCTGAAGCCAGAATTAAATCCTGGATGCGCCACAGGTGGACATTGGTATTATATTTTAATTGTGTTATTAAATTTTTCAAACGTGTGCTAAAATGTATGCAACTGCTTGGTGACCAAAATAAAATCATAAACAAACTTAAAAATAAAAAATAAAACTGAAATTAAATAGTTATTATTATTTATTTAGATGTCACTGTAATGCTTCAACGTCAGTTCAAGATCCCTCTCGGGCCGCAATTGCGATAAAACGTATTTCAATTTCTCTTTGAGATCTTGGTTTATCATCATTTCTTCATCCAATTTAGTTTGCATATGATCGCAATGACTTTGTACTAAAGCAGTTCGGTACGTCAGTTTATCCATACTAAATGCACTATCAAATTCCTGAAATGTTTTATTTTTAAATCGATTCGAAGGCCAATGATCGAATGGTTTCAGTAATCATTAATATATCAATTTCAAACATTAAAAAAATATAGTTTTACGAGGAACATTAAGCAATCCTCTCTGTGAGAGTAGGAACTACCCATTTTGAGCCTTTCACTTGACAGAATGACATACTCAAATGTCAAAACTTTTTATTATAAATTTTTTTTTTCTAGCGGAAAAATTTATACCTTTATTCACAGTTCTATATTTAAACACTGCAATCACTTACTACTAGAATCAACTTACTCACTGACTGTACAGATATAAATTTTCTAACTAGAAATATCACTAATATGACTTTATTCAAAACTCTAGAAATTGGAGTTAGTCATTTTGTCAACTGAAAGCCTCAATTGTAACTCAAAATTCGTATTAAAAAAAAATCGTTTGGGATAAAATTTTCTTTGTTAGGAGCAAATTCGTCTAATTAAGTTCCTCTATAAAAATTTGTTCTCATTAAGACCTTAATTTCAATAATTTATCTCAGAATTAATATTTGAAGTTAGAAAAAAAGTGAGAAAGGAAAATTATGGTGTGTGTTCTAGACCACATGATAGAAGTTAAAAATTCAACAAGGCGAAATTAATGATATGAAATATAATTTTTTTTCGTTCTATATTCACAATGTGATAACGTTTATAATATATATATAATAATAGTGGGTTTATCGTTAACTGTAGTGGATAATGAAGAGAAGGATAGTTAGGATGATCAGTCAAAAATAAAAATGGCAAAAATAAATAATAATATTTATTTTAACATTTGCCGAAGTTTTGGCAAATTTTACACAATAGTAGTTGTGTATAAACTAGTTTTTGTTCTATATTCACAAAGTAATGACATTTACAATATATAAAATTATGATTGTGTATAAATTACTCTAGTTAACTTTGCTCTGTAAGCATTTGCTCCTCTTAAAAATTCAAAACCCCGCAAACATTTACTCTTCTCAAAAACTCAAAATCATGTAAATATTTGCTCCTCTCAAAAGGTTCTATGCACTGCTCTTTGAGGTACTCATTCCTCAATTCGTTGAGATGATGGTCAAAGTCAAATCTTGATCCCCAGAGAAAATATTTGCATGAAAAATCTCATTTCTGGATGGCTTTTAAATTTATTCTTTGCTGTCTTATTATTTTTTTTTCTAAATTAAAATTTGTCTACAGAATCACAAACAAAATGTTTTTATCCAACATTACAAATTAATCGAATTGAATTTCCTTTACTGTTACTATTGACAAGATTGGTCTATTCTTCTAAACACAATTCCCATCAATCAAAACTGTTGTATTTCAGGAAATACTGATACTCTTGAAACAATTTTATATGGTCACACCAATTAAGCAGCCATAGATCTCCTGAATTGTAAAATATTCCATTTCACATTTGACTGTTTGAATTCAATGGAAAGAAGTGAATATTTCTTGATGTTGCAGAACAACCTAGCAATATTAGCACTGAGTAAATTGGTACCTTATCCAGTGCTAACTACATTAAATTGTATTTAATACAATTATAAAATAATCTAGTAAAATTATTTTAAACCAAAAAGAAACAAAACACAAGTACCTAAAATTCAAATTATAATTACCTCTCTCATGATAGGTTTAAATAATTCAACATATTCAGTAGGGAAAATTTTTTCCTCTTCAGTTTCATATTTAAAACACATCTTCTTTACGTTCAATACTTTTTCCACTTTTTCTTTTAATTTTTCAAATTCCTAGTCAGGAAGAAAAAAAATGTCTTTCAAAATATGCTTCATGAGACAAATATCAAAAATTCCATAAAAAAAAAAAAAAAAAAAAAAAAAAAAAAAAAAAAAAAAAAAAAAAATTAGAACTAACAAAAACTTTTGAAATACAATACAAAAGTAATAAAATCTTGTTAAGAAGAAATTTATGAGTTGTCGATAATTCAATCTTATTTGAGAATAACTGCAGAATCTTCAATTACATCTTGACATTCTTTATGGACATTGGGAAATTATGTTTGAATATTAAGATAAATGGATTTTTGATAGAATATCAAAGAAAAATTTAGTTTCATGGTCCACACTTGGCCATGTTTTATGTGGCGATAGAGAAAATTAAAGAAGAGGAAAAGAGAAGTTCTGTTTCTTTAAAATATTAATAATAATGTACACTAAACTTCCCTCATGTTCCTTTTAAATAAGACAAAATAGCTAAGTGGATCTAAACAACCAAAATATATTACTTAAGAAAAGTTGCAGGATAAATAGATTATAGATATAAGATGTAAGATTATAGCAACTCTAGAAATCAAGGAGGAACAAGAACTATTGAGAAATTAGAAAATCAGAGTGTACTCAGAGTGTATTGATTGCATGACTGGTTAAAAAAATTAATGCAGGAAAAATATACTATCATCTGAATATAAATCAAACAAAATATGATTATTTCTTTAAAACTATAATAATATAATAAGTAAAAAGGGAGGAGGAAATAAGTAATTCAAACTCTTTTCAAACTCATAAATTAAAAATTAAAAAAAGTATTAATTTTCATTTGTTTTATTGTTGTTAAACATTACCTCTTTGTATTTAAACTTTTTAATGCTTGGATCCTTTGTCTTAAAGCATATAGTTATATCAACCCATTTTTCATATTAATTTGTTGAAACTTCTATAACTAGTTATATTAGTCCTATTTTGTCATTGTGTATAAAAAAGATTTTAGGAATATAAAAATAATTTAAATAAGTTAGTAACGGAGATGTGAACAGATCAAAATACTGAATAATGTTATACAGTTTATTACTAAATTTAACTAAAAATCTTTTCAGGGATAGTATGATTAAATTTAAATGAAAACTATTTGTAACTTAAAATCTATAAGAAAAAATTAGAATTAAATTTATAAAAAATATTAAAGAAAAAAACTGCAGAATATTAAGAAAACAACTTAAACCCTTTAAAAAATAGTTACTCAATTCTGTCACAAAAATTTTAATATTTAAATTTGATAAAATTTAACTTTCTGTAAGTTAAAAAGAATCTTTCGACATGAACTGAAGTGAACAGAACCACTCATTTGAGGCCCCTCTAGCTTTATGTTTAACTTATATCATATTTATTCCATAAACATCTATATAAATAAAATAAAGACTTAGTCTGTACATTGAATAGAATCAACCCGTTTTATGATATCCTTCCATTTCATACATTGCAGACACTAAATCCACTTTAAAAAAAATTTTTGTTTGTCTGTATGTCCACATTACAACGAAATTTTGTCAGGGGAAAGCTCAGCAATGGCTTATTGTAGACTTTTGAAATTTTAACATTATATTAAGGTTTGCTTGACTTAAAACATGCTTTAAATGAAAACAAAATATTGAGTAAAACCAAAGTTGATGTTGATAATAAATGTTAATCATAAATATATGTTTATTGGTTAAAGAACATTTATATAAATAAAATAAAGGTTTTGTCTGTACATTAAATAAAATCAACCCATTTCATGACATCTTTCCGTTTTATATATTACCCACCAAAATATACCAGATCCACTTTTGAAAATTTTTTTGTTTGTCTGAATGTTCGCATTCTCCAACAAAATTTTGTCAGAGGTAAGCTCGGCAATAGTTTATGGTAGACTTTTGAAATTTTGACATTACATTTAGGTTTGCTTTACTTAAAACATAGGCTTTAAATGAAAACAAAATATTGAATAGAACATTATGAATTCTTGAGTAATTTGTTTAGAGATCTCGGTTAGGCAGTTCCTTCGATTCTCATCCCAACCTACTCTACCACGAACCACATTTAAAAGTTTACTACTCAACTTATAGAAAAAATTATCACAACTCACCAGGAAACATCCGAAATCCCAAATATCTGTCACGCGTTGTCACACAAAACGGGTAAAATTCAATGATTTTTCAATTTTGTCCGATGTTCCCTTTCAAGGTGTCATTCAATTCAAATTCCCGAGTCTAATAAATGTTCTCGTATACATTTTTAGGATGAACCAAACGGATTAGCCGGAAATCAGGAAAAAAGAACTCAAAAATTTCACCCCACCTGCCAAAATGTTCAAATCAACTTCAAATTTTACACGGATGTAGGTGACGCAATGTCCAATGTTATATCGGTTATTTTGCCAAGGATGAACTCAGCAGAGTTTAAAGAAGTGGAGATATTACAACTCTTTTTGATTAATTAATCAACTCCACAATCTCCTCGCTTCATCATAAATGAAAATTAAACACTTAACAAATTTTAATGGATCGGTGGTGGTCGGTTTAGTTGTGTTGTAGCCAAACAAATAGCCGACTAATAAAATTTTTGCTATGACTATTGCGAAACCTTGACTTCCATAAGCCCCGCCATAAAAAAATTTCAAAACAACTCTCCTCTCTTTTCTCCTGACCCAATTTTATGAAATTGGATTTGGATCCTCCTCCTCCTATAATACAAAATACATCTCAAAAAAAGATCTCAAAATTTAACTATACTCCCGTCAACGACGGGTACATCAGCTATTATATTATTAAATCAATATTTGCAACAATTAAAATAAAAATAACTATTATGTTATAAAACTTTTAACAAAATATTCAGATGTATTATTCATAATAGGCAAGATAAAAATATATTAGATAGTTACTAACTGCAATAATTAAAAAAAAAATCCTTGTTACTTAATAAATATTGGGTATGTTTAGTTTCATGAACAGTATTCTGATAATTGACTACCTACCAGTAACTGTATTTTAAATTAAAATACACTATTAAAGTAAATTAAAACTGTATTTGATACTTGACTTGACCATTTCATATATCTTTATGAAAAATTAATGAACTATAAAAATCTGCACCAATTATAATTACTATGTTCTTAAAAATAAATTGGTAGAGCTGGCACAGTAACCTTTATGATATTCAGGCTGACATTACTAAGAAAAGTAAGATTATTTTCATCAAACTTCATGTTCTCTTGAAATTTATGCAACAGCTGAGCGTAGGCATTGGCATATTTGGTTCTTTCAGCAGCTAACTCCTTGTTCTTTTCACTCCAAAAACTCTTCTCAGCCTTACTGTTAGTTTTCCTCAAAGCCTTTAAGAAAACATAATTAAGTAATAAAATTAAGAAAACACCCCAAACTTAATAAAAGTTAGAAAATTATTTGATAAAACCCATAACATCGGTTTCTTAAAAAGTAAATTATGATACGTACTTGAACCTCATTCAATAGTTTTCTCTGTTTTTCAATTTCTTTTCTTTCCTCTCTATCTTTTAACTTGAGAAAGATAACAAGTCTTTTAGCTAGTTTCCAATCTTTTCTAAATCTTCCAAATACAGTTCTGAATTGAACCCACAGATTAAAAGCTTTTGTTTCCAAATCAAAAGCTGTCTCAGCAGTATCATCTAAGTGCTGTTGATTAAAAATGATAAAATATAAATGTTTATTTTTCATAGAAAAAAAAATTTTGTAAGAAGGGAAAATGTTATGAAATAAATGAACATGGAAAATAGTACTTCAAATGAGGATAGGAATGAAATTTTAACTTATATTTTTAATCAGTAGGGTATGACTGGAATCTTTATTTTTCTGTTATTTTGGAACTACAATTATTCCCTAGCAACTTTTCAATTATTTAAAAGTTATTTTGAAGCAATTGATTTTGCCAAAAAGTCTATCTAAAAAACTACTTTTATTCTTAGTTACCCAAACAAACGACAAATTAGAATCAAGTAATTCATTTAAGATAAATTATAACTGTAATCTCAACCCAACTACAGTCTATTTCTCACTTAAGTAACTCTTTTTAAGAGCTTAAATAAATTAATGATAAACTTTTACCATAAACCAAAAACTTTATTAGAAGAAAGTTCGTTGAAATTTTTATTTTAAAAACTTTTTTCTCTAAAATGTATCACAGAAACTGCCAAAATGGGACTTTTCAAAAAAGTTCAATAAAAGTTTTAACTCTTAGTTTAGAAATCTATCATGGTTTTCTCAACTGTTAAATGAAATAATTTATTAAAGATATGGTTTACAGGTAGTAAATATTATCAACTGTATCTATTAATAATAAATATTTAAATTTAAAACTAAACCCATTTATTCGTTCAAAAATTAAGTTCTATGATAGTGGATTGATGGTTAATTGTAGCGAATAATTGAAGAGAAGTTGTTTGGGGTGTTGAGTTAAAAAATACAAAATGAAATAAATATTATTTGTTATATTTACTTTGTATTTTTGACTGAACACTTCAACTAACTTCTCTTCAAAATAAATATAACATTATATTTAAAAAATCTAGTATTGCATTATTAACTGAAATCAAATTATTTATTATTTGTTTTCTTACTGTCCAGTCTGCACTTTCACCCAGATTTTTTGTAAACAAACATCCAACTCTCCCCTCCTCTCCCCCCAAAAAAGTGTCCGCCAATAAGAATAGTAATATACATTGTCAGTTTTTGCAAAAAGTCACTAAGTACATATTTGATGTAGCTAAACTTTTATGTACGTTTTTGTGAATCTCGACATAATTTGATCTGTACAAAAACATGAAAGCGCATCAATAAATTTGTACCTATCATGTCATAGAGCTCACCCTTTTTGAATTTACCCTTTAGTTTATTTTCATTTTTATTTTTCTAACATAACTTTATTTTTTTATTTATAGGTAAAAATTAAATAAAGCTATTTGTTTTCATCATTTAATTTAACAAAGATATAAAATATTTAAAATAGTATTTTTCTTATATCATATTCATATTTTTGAACTTTAGGTATGAAAAATAAGTTTGAAAAAGGATTGTTGGTTGAAAGAACAATATATCCAAATGGAATAAACTTTCGATATAGATGACTTAGAATCTATCAAAGACCAAGTAATTACAGAAATATAAAATTGATCCAGGACATTGAATAAGAAATAAAGACAGTCGTGCTTCAGCTGTCGTCGGGTTCACATCGCGGATGGTGCTTTTTGAAGTTGCGGCATCTCTGAAGTTAGGATTAACTATAGCTCCTTGTGTAGCAGCCGCCGCCTCGTGTCTGGTTTCCAGGGACAGATAAGCTTGCTATTTTTCCTACCTACTTTTCAAATATGTCTTAACTTACTTATTCAATAATCTTATTAATTGTTTATTTAAATCATTTCATTTCCGTAATATTCTTAGTTTAGTGACTTATATTCTATATTATATAATTACATATTTTTATATTTTTTAAATTTACCTATTAGTATTAAGTTAGCTTGTAATAGTTAATTGAAATGTAGTTTAGGGTTATTTAATTTATACTAATCTAAAACTAATACTTCTCCTCTACTATCATTTTATAAACATTTTTATTCTATATATCCTTTATTAATTTTCTGTCTTTCCTATATTGTAATATGGAGGTACCTCCTGGTCCTCCCGATCTATCTACCGTCCTAACCAAAAAGAGAAAATGGGCTCGCCCTAAAATTAAATTCCCTCCGGACAAAATCATTCCGCAAATCACAGATACAACTCCAACATATCTTGTTGCTAAACGATCCGATCAAGAAGACTTTAAAAAAACCTCTCCATTTTTTATTCAAAAGGTGATCGCTCAGTTAGCAGGTGATGTTAAAGCAGTAAAAAAGTTAAGAGACGGTTGTTTATTGATACAAACACTCAATGGACAACAATCAAACAGACTTTTATCCGTTACAGACTTTGGAGGCCAAATGAAAGTTGAAATAACACCGCATAAAACTTTGAACTATAGTAAGGGCGTTATCCGTTGCTATGACTTCCAATACATGGACATACAGGAAATAAAGAACGAATTAACTCCGGTAATAAAAGATATTGTCAGGATAAAATCAAAACGGAATGGTAATGAAATACTTACACATAACTATATAGTTACCTTTCCAACACCTTTACCTCCAGAAACATTACAAATTGGATACGAAACAGTTAGAGTACAGCCTTACGTACCGAATCCGTTACGATGTTTTAACTGCCTAGGATTCTCTCATCCGACATCACAATGCAAAAAAGAATCAGTATGCGTACAATGCGGCCAGGGAAGACATGGAGAAAATATAAGGTGTAATTTGCCGGCTAAATGCATAAATTGCAATGGTCCTCACAATGCCCTAGACCGGTCATGTACCGAGTTTAAAATACAAAAGGAAATAAAAGCCATACAAATCAATAATAAAATATCACTTTACGAAGCAAAAAACATGTATAGAGAAAAAAATCCCATCCAGTTAAATAAAACATTCGCGGAAATAGCAAAAAATCAAAATAATACAAACAGAAAAGTAGATGTTGCCACTCAGGCTAATATTCTGTACTCTTTCTCAGTTACTTCAACAAACTCACAGATAAATAAACCCAATGAGATTATCTCTCCTGATGTCCAGGCCACACCAGCTATCTCTGATCGAGAGACTGCTCGACCACAGTCAACCGAAGTTGGCAGCCCCGCGGCTACCCAGACTGCTCCCCTCCTCCCCTCCTCTTCTTCCCACTCATCTACCCTCCCTGCCTCTACTTCCTCTCTCTCCTCTAATCTCTCCTCCTCCTCTTCGTCTTTCCCTTCTGCTCCTCTCCCCAACTCTTCCTCCCTCTCTTCTCCTACCCTCTCCACCTCCCTTCCAAATCTCCAATCCCCCAATCCCGATCTCACTACACCACCAGACGATAAATCTGCTGAAAATGCTGTAGATGGGGAAGGATATACCCTACAAAAGAAAAAAGGAAGACCCCGAAAAAAATCCCCAAATAAAACAAATAATAAATAAAATAGCCGACAACTAAATTACAAATATCATCTTCAAATAAGTTAATATATGTTTTTTCCATTCTATACCGTAACTAAATCATGACCCTAATCCAGTGGAACTGCAATGGTATTAAAAGTCACTTCAACGATTTGAAGCTAATAATGGAAGATGAAGATCCTTTTTGTATATGCCTCCAAGAAACGCACCTAAAGCCTTCAAACCAATTCACCCTTAAAGGCTTCAATATCTATAGGACAGATTGTGATCCAGATTACGAGCGAGCGTGTAGAGGCGTAGCCATAGCCATAAAAGATACCTTTATTCCCACCCAGTAGAAATAGATTCCCCACTTCAAGTAATAGCTGTTACAGTTCATTTAAACACAACATTCACAATTTGCAACATTTATCTCCCCCAAGACAATACTATAGAGACAGAACACCTTCTCCATATTCATAGGCAGTTGACAAAGCCAATTTTGTACACTGGAGATTTCAATGGCCACAGCCCATTATGGGGCTCACAAGACACAAATCCTAGAGGTCGCATTATAGAAACTTTCTTAGATTTAACGAATACTCTGTTACTAAACTCCGGCGAAGCAACATACGTAAGTTCTAGCTTTGGTACATTTTCATCCATTGATCTCTCTTTATGCACTTACTCACTGATTGATAATATAGAATGGACAGTTCTACCAGAGCCTTATGGAAGTGACCATTTCCCAATTCGTCTAAAATTCAGAAGTGCAAACTGCAATAATTACAGCGTCCCTCGTTGGCTATTAGAAAAAGCAGATTGGTCACTATTCACGTCTTTAGCTGTCCCACCTCAAAATCACCCTAACAGTATGAATGTAGATGATGGGTGTAAATCTATAACTGAGACAATAGTTACGGCAGCAGAGTTCTCAATCCCTAAAACCAAAGGCCATTACAAAAGGACACCTGTCCCCTGGTTCGATAGTGATTGCAAGAAAGCCATACAACTTCGGAGAAATGCATTTAAGACATTTAAGAAAAATATGAATCAGGTTAATCACATTGAATATAAAAAACAAAGAGCTGTTTGCAGAAGAATTATAAATGACAAGAAAAAAGAATCATGGAAATCATTTGTTGAGTCCATTAACTCGTCTACCCCCTGCAACATTGTATGGAACAAAATAAGGAAGATAAGAGGAACCAATTCTTCCTACAAATATACTCTGATATGCGATGGAAAACTATGCGATAACCCAGACATTGTTGGAAGAACATTTGCCGAATATTACTCAGAAGTTTACACAACGACTTCTAGAAATAATATGGCTCAAGATCTAAACTTCTCTGACGATAATGCATATCAAGATTACAACATTCCATTCAGCATGTGGGAACTCCAATCAATACTCCAAACTGTCAAAGGATCTTCACCAGGACCAGATAATGTACACTACTCCATGATACAACATCTTCCGAAAAATACACTGAACTGGCTTTTAAATTTTTACAATCATATTTGGCTTAGCGGTAACTTTCCTAGCAGCTGGAACGACTCTATAGTTGTCCCAATATTGAAGGGTAGTCAAGATAAACGTCATCCATCCAGCTACCGACCAATATTTTTAACCAGCTGTCTATGCAAAGTAATGGAACGAATGGTAAACAAGAGACTCACATGGATCCTAGAAAAATATCATCTCATCCAAAACTTCCAATGTGGTTTTCGCAAAGGCAGATCAACTGTAGACCACCTGGTTCAAATGGAAGCCGAATTACAGTATGCATTCATCCAAGAGGAGCAAGCTATTGCAGTTTACTTCGATATGAAAAAAGCCTTCGATAAAACACTGACAAATTTGCTATCCTAAACAAAATACACTCGCTAGGATTCAGAGGTAACTTACCAAAATTTATTCAAGGATTCCTTTCTAGTCGCTGCTTTCGCGTCCGTATAGGGAAACTGTTATCCAAGCAATGTAGACAAGTGAGTGGAGTACCACAAGGATGCGTTTTAAGTACAACACTTTTCGCACTGGCGGTTAGTGACTTGGGAAAAAATCTTCCACGCGGAATCAAAGTAATGCTCTTTGTCGACGATCTTGCTATTCTATACAGAGCGAAAGATGTCCTATCTGTAAAAGATAAGCTCCAAGAAGCACTGAATCGTATTGATGGCTGGTCGAAATCATCGGGACTTTGTTTCTCTTCTGAAAAAACTAAATGTATTCACTATAGCAGAAAACGAAATACTCCACAATCGCCAGAACTTCTCTTAGGTGACGCCATCTTACCATATGTCAACACCTGCAGATTCTTGGGATTATTATTTGATAAACGTCTATCCTGGGAACACCACATAAAATCACTCAAAGATACATGTACTAAAAAACTTCAGCTTCTGAGAATACTTAGTGGAACTAACTGGGGAGCAGACAGAACTACCATGATTAAAGTATACCAAGCTCTGATCGGCGCAAAAATAGATTATGGTAGTTTTGTCTACGGTTCTGCCCGAAAAAATGCTCTAGCCAAGCTCGACTCCGTGCACCACACTGGAATACGCCTTGCAACTGGAGCCTTTAGAACAAGCCCAACCCTGAGCATTTGTGTCGAATCTGGCCTTATACCACTGCACTTTAGAAGACAGAAACTTGCAATAAACTATATTACTAAATTATACCCGCAAACTTCACACCCCTCCCATAAATATGTTTTTCAATCTAAATTCTCAAAAAGATTTAAAGAAAAAAAGAATACCACATTACCATTGGCAGAAAGAATGTCTCTTATTATAAATAAACTAAAACAAATAACATTACATGAAATAGAAAAAGAAACAGCCCCTTGGACCTATATACAACCTAAATTAAATCTCCAACTCACCCAATTCACCAAAGATACTACATTACCTGCAGATTACAAAGAAAAATTCCAAAAAATAATCATCACGTTACCTGAACATCTTCTAATATTCACCGACGGATCCAAATCAGATACATCTACTGCTTCAGCCTTTGTCACTCCTGATACTACCTAGAAATATAAATTACACCATCTTTGTAGTGTTTACACAGCAGAGATTAACGCCGTAGCAATGAGTCTCCGATACGTCATGAAGAAGCCAGTTGCAAATGTGGTTGTTGTATCGGATTCCCTAAGTACTCTGAAAGCTATGAATAACATGTATCCAGACCATCCAGGGATACACTGCATTCTAAGTCTTATAAAAATGCTTCATGGAGTTGGAACAATGGCACATTTTATCTGGTCGCCTGGCCATATAGGAATTAAAGGAAATGAAATGGCTGATAGAGCAGCAAAGGAAGCTCTTACTCTTCCAGGCCGCGGTAAAGTTTTTTTGACACCATCTGAACTTGCACGACCTCTGAGAGAAACCATATTCCAAGAATGGCAAAGACGGTGGGACATCAGCGCACCTAGCAAATTAAAAACAATAAAGAAAGAGGTGCAACCGTGGACCAGCTCCAGACGCAGCAGTCGTAGAGAAGAGGTCGTCCTCACGCGGCTGAGGATCGGACATACTAGACTGACTCACCTCCACCTCATAACAAAAGATTCTATCCCCCGATGTCAAAAGTGTAACCAATCACTAACTGTAAAACATATTTTGGAAGAATGCCCTTTTTACACCGCAAGATTAAAAGATTTTGGAATACCCCAGAATATATCAGCATCCCTGGGAAATCAAGAAGAAATGGTTACCAAAGTCATCAAGTTTATGGATAGTGAAAGACTTAAAAAACACATTTGACAGGCTTTTATTTATTTATTTATTTTTATTATTTTTTTTTAAATTTATTTATTTAATTTTATTTATTTTTTTATTTATTTATTTATTTTATTGATTCTACTGCTATTTTTTAAAGTTTATTTATTTATACATTTTTTATACATCTTATTACCTATACATGTCTATTATTATCCTTATTTATTTATTTTATTCTATCAATCCATTTCTTTATTTATTTTATTTTATTTTATTTATTTATTTATTTTTTTATTTATTTTATTTTATTTTATTTTTTTATACCAATCATCCAAATAGTATTAAATGATGTTATTTAGTTGATCGGGCGCTTATGACCTGGATGTTTTGCGCCTAGACATCGAAACAAACAAACAAACAAGAAATAAAGAATCTCTTTCTTGTCCAAATAAATGAGTTTTAAAGATGTCAAAAAAGCTTAATTAACTGAAATAACATGTAATTCATTTGTACTTTGTACAGACACTATAAAGTATATAACACAATTATAAAGACAGAATCTAATTTTAGGCAGGGCTTATTCAATTGGTGTCTTTAAAGAATATTTCAAACGAGTTGATTTATGCCTGCCCTCAAAATAGAGTATGGAAATTTAATAAATTCAATTTAGGTTGATCTCAGATATAGAGATAACTTTATACTATTTAACATTTTCTTGAATTTTCCTATTCTAATAAAGAGTAACATTTATTGAATGCTAAGTAGTTACATTACACTTTGACTTTGATATTGAATGAGTGAACTCCTAATTTCTTTTGTTTTTTTTGTCCACCACTGCCTTCCCTTTTTAGGCTACATGGGTTTTTTTTCCTAGGCCAGAGGAAAAGGTGGAGTATTAATGCCAGAGTTATAAACGTCTGTTTATCAGGTTGTTGGACAAGACGTCTTTTGAACACAGGTTAACCTGCTTGGCCATTCCACTCCCAAGTAAAATCCTATAACTAATAAAATACAATTTTAGGAGTTCCACGTACACCTTTGCATTATTGACAAGCAAAATGTTTGAGAGGCCCTTATGGTTTAAAACCAGATAGAATGAAACTATTTTTAATTGTTATGTAATCAAATGTAACATCATGTTTAAAAATTTGAGACCACCTTATTATGGAGTTTCATACGAAATTTTCTTTGCTTTTTGGCTAATACTTGACACTTTCTTTCATATCTATCTGATATGCCATAAGACACAGTTCGAACGTCATCTCTGGTTTCCATTCCTTTGAGTTTGGCATATTTTAGAAACGACCAATGTTTTTTTAACATTCTGTCCCGTTGGAATTCAAAATCATTTAACATCTGCAGCATTATTTCTTGATAGCTCCCTAAAAAATATATTATTAGATAAAATCAAGCAGTGAAGTGAAGAATGGGCTATAACAGACATTTCCAAGGCTTTATTCATCATTTCTACAGTGAAATTATTTGCAGCTAAAGTATAGATAAGTAACTCCTATTATTTAAAATATATTTACTATTACATTAATTATTTCAACGAACTAAAACTAAACTTGCAAATTTTTAAAATATAGTCTGGGAGGAATGGCTCATTACAAAATTTGGTGCTTGTATACAATTCCTAAATGGAGCATATTAGTTGGAACTGTTGTATGAGATTCCCAGACAATTTTGAAAACCCATGTTTGTTCTTCCAAATTTCCTAAACATTAATTGAAGGTTGTATTTTATAATTTGTAACAAATGAAAGTAAAGGCATATTATTCTAATTTATAACACATTTTCAAAAGTTGTTTTGACTTAATAAAAAAAGATAGCTAAAAATTATAAAAAAAGAAAACAAAAACATAATTGTTGATAAATTCAACGTAGTAATTAAATTGTAGAAACCTTAATTGTTTGCTGATTATTTCCTGTTTCCAAATAAATTCATTTTTATACAATACTAATCATAAATGCCAGTTGAAAATATGGTATGAGAAGTTTTCGATTTATCCTAAACTTGACATTAATACGTAATAAATAACAAATCCAGAGGTCCTATGCTCATGATTAGAGAAAAAATTGCCATATAAAGTAAAAAATAAATATGAACATATATATGTAATTATAATTTTACAAATTAGTAACAAAACATAAGAAATATTTAAGAAAAACACAAATCTAAAAGGATTAACATTTTAAATTATATAAATTTGATCTTTTCTGATCAATCTTAACCTGTTACATAACTCAAACCACAAAATGAAATCTACGGTGTTTTGTTTCTTTTCTTCTCTATGGTCTTTTGTAAAAACCTGTAGTTTAAAAGTAGCAAATTGTGATGTAAAAATCTGTAAGTTACAGTGATGGCTATAGAGGTTGTGTAGTTCCAAAAAAAGAAAAAAGGAACGAAAGGCTCAATGAAAAGTGGTCAAGTAAATATAGAATGTATAAAGCGTTTTTCGCATAGACTACAGTATCAATTAGCTTTATTAACAGGCTAAAATTAATTTTTCTCATACGCTTTGTATTATTTTTTGAAATTTATAATAAGTCGCGGGCATTTCCAGCCCGATGCCTATGGGTAAATGTTCGAATTCCTTTATCCTGAGGCCGGCACTGCTTACCATGGAACTAGACAAAACAAAGAAGAGAGTGGTAAGTGGGAATATAATATTAAACGGCCTTCTTAATCATTGAAACCTCAAGGCAATTGCAAAATGAGCTTGACTGTAACAAAGCTACAATGTCACCGAATTCCAGATAGTTAGAGACAAGAGGATTGATTTCATTAATTGGACAACTTAACATGAGATGAAAAAAAAAAACTCTAGTTTCATCTTTTCAAGCCAACGAATCTTCAAAATTACAAGAAGTTCAGAAACGAAACTTTTATAGACTATTCAAAAATGGAGCTTACGCGCCCCGTCCAGGCCTTCCCTGGTATTTACTAACACTTAAGGGTCTTTTCCTGACAGGATACACCAGGTGACAATGTTGGTTCTGTACAAGCATAGTTAGCACAAAATTTGATCTGTAAAACTACAAACTTTTAATTCAAAAACTTTCACAACTATAATTAAAACTACATAGAAGTTGACGAGCACTTACTGACACATTATAAAATACATTCATGCAAGATATGGCTACAATTAACATACCCAATAACTTCCTTAAGAAGCTAAAAGAAGCTGGATGAGTGATCTAGCTTTAAACTGTATACTAAAATCAAGATAGGAAAAGGGATGCCGCTGGGCATTTCTCTCCCTCATGCCGATCAACTCTACTACTACTGTTCTTTCCAACAGCAAAATCAATGGTTGTCAGTATTTCTGACATTTATTATCCTTAAGTACAATATTTAAATTTTAAAGAAACTCTATTTTATTCAAATCACAGAAGCAGGGGTGCGCATCCCCTCCAAGGGCAATAGGCCACGCTTCTCTCCCAAAAACATTAATTGCACTCCACTTCTTCAAAACAATGAAATGGAAACAAAATAATAAATTGTAATTTAGATTTCCTTTGTTCCTTCATTAGAAAGTTCTCTTCGATTTAAACTTTAAACCTTACAAAAATATGGTTCCCTCCAAAAATTCACGAACCCTTAAATATGTGCCTCTCAAAAATCCATGAATCCGTAAAAAGTGTGCCCCCCTCTTAAAAATATTGATGGGTAACTTAAGTCATGCAACCCCCTTCTGGGCACCCCTCCACAGAAGTAAGGGTTTTATATTTATAAAATTAATAAATGACAAGGAATTTATTGATATTAACATCTGACTACAAGATAGATCTTATCTATAATCTGTGAACTTTAATCAAATATCTAAATACTAAATGAATTGACTGAAAATTTTATTGAGAATTTGATTAAAAACGAAGTGACTACTTGCCCAATATTTGGTCAAAGCTTTCCAAGTAAACATGGTTGACCAAATCCTCTCCAACAGTTCTACCTTTTACATTTTCTAATAACTGATTTCTGTGAAAATCTTTCCATTCTGATTTCATTCTAAAAGTACCCCAAAAGTGCTAAAAAAATATATCACAGATCAAACAGTGGGGTTCGAGAAATGTGCCAAGAAGTTAATAAAATAAGTTGAACATCGGAGAGTTTTAAAAAAAAAAATCTATATTTTTATAGGTACATAATTAACAATAATAACTGCACCTTATATTGTGTTTATAAGATACTTATTGTATGAATCATATAGCAACAGAAATCCCAGAAATAAAAAAGCTTTCTAGTCAAGAATTCAACAGTTGTGTATAACTTTTAGCGTTTAACAGAAAATAGAAAAAACAAAAGAATCTTTTATGAAGCAAGAGAAATATATCTTCTCCCAAGTAAGAATAAAATTTGAAATGTATGGGATGAGGTAATTATAAAGTTTGATTTATATTCAAATGAAAAAATCTTTCTTATATTTTTTTTATATGTATATTTTTTAATTAAAAAGTTTGATGAGAACTTCAGGAGACATTCAATACTTAATTATTTTAAAATTTAAAAGTTTTATTAATTTCCTTACAAACAATTTTAATTGTATACAGCAGGTTTCGATACTAAAGAACAAATTTATTATTTTCTATATTTATTAGTGAACAGTCTGAAATTAAAGAGCACAATATGAGTTTAAAATATTTACTGATTTCAATCATGAAGCAATAACAAAATACATAATTATTAATTATTTCATAATTCAATTTTATTTAAATCCTGAACATAATACTTTTATTTCCAATGATAAATGTTTCAACAAACTGAAGTCAGGGTATTCTTGAAATAGAGATACAAAAATACAAAGGAACAGGTTTGTCGTGAGGAAATTTTTTTTGAAAATCAGATCTAGTAAAATGTAACTCTAAAATAATTTATATTTTGAATGATCATAAATGAAAGTATTATTTGTATTTAATGGACTTCTAATGCTTGATTGCAAATTGATTAAAGAAATTATATTTTATTACAAATCAATTTATGGCTAATTAGTAATACAAAATAAATCCTACATTTTGCTAAACATAATGTTTTAATAACAATAGTTAATATATTATTAATTGAAAAAACAAACCTCCTTTTCAGCATTTGTAATGTTCTCTTTCATTACACCAGCAGTGAAATCTAAAGTACTCCGTATCTGTTCTTCAACAGAGTGATAATAGTCCAACTCTTTGGACAAAAGGTCCTACGACAGATTATTTATAATTTGAATTTGTTTATTAAACTTTGAATAATGCAAATAAAGTTTTGACCCAATAATATTATGGAGCATAGTACACTAATTATTAATTGCAGCAATGTTATTCCTAGACAAAATAGCAGTGGCATATTTTAATAGCATGATCTGTTTCATGACAATTAATGATTTATTTTTTAGATGGATCTGACAATAACCTTTCTTAGATTGTATTTTCTTTCTTCCTCGTCTCTCTGAGCCTGCAACTTTTTCTCTTCTTTCAACCTTTGCTTCTCCAATTGCTTACGCTTTTCTGGATCCATTTTCTCTTCATCCTCATCCTCGGGCCCTTGCATCTATAATTAGAAAACTCAAATTAGTAAACTATTTATAAGTGTGAAAGGAACAGGACACTGCAAGATTTCATAAAAAAAATAAGAAAAAAAAAATATTCCTTTTGATTTCTCTACCAATAGACAACCATTGATTGATGGTTTAAAAAAATGATATGTCATAAGAGAGTGATTCCATGGAGACTATACTTAAGAACCACAAAGATCAAAATATACAATACTGATAAAATCCCAAAATTACTAACTGGCAACATTTGCATTTTATAAACATTAACAGATGTAACAATAAAATATTTAGGCTTAATTTTGAACCAATCCTCTCAAATTGAAAATTACAAAGTCTTACATAATCCTGAAACATAAAATTCAAATATTAAATAAAATAAAACAGCTTAAGAAATAAATTTAATTTTTATAGGGGAAGAGGGGAGAAATATGACGTCATTGCTTAGGGGTACCGAATGTCTTATGCCGGCACTGTTATCATCATTTCAATTGTGGAAATTGACTACTTCTGCAATAGTTACTTTTAAGCATGTGTAAAGCACTGATATGAAGAAGTGGAAACTAGAAATATCATAGAGAATCTATCAGAAACAGAGCAAATTTTATGGACAAATGATAAATCACAAAGCAATATATGACATAGGTACAGTACAGCATTGAATCTAAAATGCACTTTCCCCCCAAGAAGAATTGATTTTTTAAAACTAAAGAGAGAGGAGGGGTTTCTTAAATTCTATAGCATCATAAACTTGATGTGTAAAATTCAAGTGATACAAATTAATTAAAAGAACTAATAAAATAATTTTTTTTTTTATCTCCAAACACGTATATATGTTTTAACAACAAAATTTATATATAAATACCTGCTATTTATATGCATATACTATTTTAAGTGTATGTGTATATATCCTTTTTCTTTGAAAAACCTCCGCATAAAGGACACCGCTCATTAAAGAACGAAATATGAGTTACCATGATTGTCCAGCATCCAGAAGTTTCACAGTATCCATTTGTGAAATATATTTAAAATAGTTTGAGTACCTATCTTTCATTGTTTGAGCTTCTATTTACTTATATTTATGGAATGCCTTAAATACCTAAAAAATAATGAGCTAAGAAAACTTCTGATTTCCAACTTCCAAAAATTTCAATATTTTATCAATTATTTAGTGGCACTTGTTCATAGTGTGTCAAGTGCATAAATCGTATTTATGGGTAAAAGTAATTGAAAGATTGGAAATTTCACAGATGCAAGTTTGCTTTTCGTGTTTCAACCCATGTTAATGTTCATCTCTGTATAGCCGCCTAACTTAGCCCATTAAATACAAAAAAAGAGAGAAAATTTACCTTTCTGGGGATAGGCATACAGATTTTAAAAAAGTACACTTTTCACAGGTGCCACAGAGTTTATTAATTGAATCCCATACTATACCACCAAAAACGTAAAACAGGTACTTATTAAATTTGATGCAATAAAGAATTCAAAGATCTGGCTGTAATAATCAGTAAGGGGATAGAAAGATCATAATGAAATGAATAATAATGAAATTATACGGAAAAAAAGAATAAAATAATTTAATTAATTAAAAGAAGAAAAAACCAAATATCCTATAAGCTACTACTAAAGTGATTCACATGTTATAGAAATTTGATGACCATAAGTCATATCTCTGTAAAATATAGAATAATAAACCCGAGGTTCAATAGTGAAAGCTTTCAACAGTCTTTGGTTACATTCATATCTAAGGGGGGAGCGGTATGGCTGAAGGGGCTAACATGTGTGCACAGCACTGTGCATTGCCTGATAACCAAAGTTTGGAGACAATAAAATTACGAGTTCGCGTCCCGGTGCCTGGGGGTCTTTTAAATTCTCCGCCCTCACTACCTGGCCCAGGAAAACACCCGCATAGCCTAAAAATGCGAGGTAGGGGAAAACAAGAAATAAAAAAGTTACAAACATCTCTCCACTTCACTCAAGTACATCAGATCTTACGGAACTGAATTCTCCCATTTCCGTTTTGGCACACCCTTTAGGACGCTCATCTCTAGTCTCATCATCAGTAGTTGTATTAATAAATGAAATATCAGTGAGAATAGGTACCAACAAGGCAAACAAGGAAACACAGGCGGATCTACGGAGAGGGGGGAGGGAGTTCTCGGGCTGAACCCCTCCTCCCCAGCAAAAAAATGGTAAAATATAACCACGTTTAAAGAAAAAAGCTATTTTTCAAAAGTATTATTGTTCGTCTAATTACATTTAACAGGACTTATCACCATTTCACATAGGCAGTTAATTGTTTTCTTTCTTCGGAAGTAATTATCCTAATATATACATACAAAAAAAAATCTTTCTGGCTGAATCCCCTCCCAAAATTAAATCCTGGATCCCTTAGTGCAAGGAAACTAATCATATCCTGGATGCAAATTGATTCTTGTAATTATTGTGATTTATTTATAATTACTTTTCCAAAGCCGTTATAGAATCTAATAATACTTTCGGTTTCACTGAGGCAGTTATATAAGGCTATTAAAGCCGGATTAAAAGTTTCCACTGCATACGCCTGGCTTTCTAAGCCCCATACAATAAAACTGAATCACGAGGAACCGAGCTCGGGGAGTGTGGAAGGCTTTGTCTTGTCCACGCCCGAGAGAAAAACTCCATAAGATTTCCCTCCGGGAAAGTTTTCATACTTCCTGCTTGTGTGTATGGTTCAAGTTTTCTTGTAATCGCATTATCTTAGGCCTTTATTAATGAAAAGGAACTTTTTGAAACCCTTCTCATTATCTGTATGAAAAATTTCACGTTATTTTCACATCTCCGCGGCTTCACAAATAGGCTAGGACTATACATTGTCTATTTTCCTAGGAAATGTACAATATATAGTTATGGTTTGATTAAAAATAATTATATATAATTAAATAAACATGAGCATCACATAGTTCATTTTGTATTTTGTATTGTCCACTACATGTCGGCACACCACAGCGGTCCCCTTTTGGACCAAATTGACTTAAAGCAGTATGTGGACAACAGGATCATTAAAGTCTGGACAAATTTGGGCATACACGAATATTTTTAAAGTATTGTGATTCTCTAAAGTTATTCCTAATAAAATTGGAAGGTTGAAATTTTTCAGAAATGATCTCATTACAAGCCGCCATTTTGTTTCAAGACTGAAGCATTAAAACGACTGTAATGGTTTTGTTAAAACTTCCCTAAAGTCACTTGAATAATAATAATAAGGCTTAGCGAACCCGAAGGTTCGATTCCGATACCACCAATGTCCACATTCTTCCATCCATCAGGTTCCATCTAAACCCATCCCCGCCAAATCAGCTTTAACGCAATCTTCCCACCTTCGCTTTGGCCTACCTCTCGGACACTTCCCATTCGGTAAAGCGCATATTAACTTTTTAGGAATTCTTTCGTTACTAAGTCCATTTTATTCGCCTTAACTTAATCATATTAATTATATTATGTCATCTCAACTTTGTTTAACTGCCTAGATTCTCCGGTTGACACGTCCTTATTAGGTCCGAATATTCTGGACAATATTTTATTTTCAAAAACCTTAAGACATTGCTCATCCCTCAATGTAAGGATCCGCGTTTCGCAACCATAAAGAACTGTAGAAAAGACAATGGTTTTGTAAATTCTAATTTTTAAGTTTTGGGATAGGAGACGAGAACTAAGCAGTTTTAACAGAGAAAAATAACAAGCACCTCCCGGCTTCAACCTAACCTTAATATCCTCTTCATTTCTTATTACCGTAGACCTCAGCTACATAATATTATGTACATTTTACACTCTGTACGTATTCAAACACATTCCCTTCTATATCGATATCACCGAAATTGTCGCTGTTTTTGCAGCCATCCATATATTTAGTATTCATTTCGATAAATTTAGGCATGCACTAACATTTTTTCACGTGTTTTTAAAATATTATGATTCATTAAAGCTACCCCTAATAAAATTGGAAGGTTGAAATTTCTAACATGGTCTCATCACAAGCCGCTATTTTGTTTCAAGACAAAAGCATTAAAACGACTTCAATCATTTTGATAAAACTTCTCTAAAGTCTTCCACATGAAATTATATAAGTTTATGTATATAATATATTTCCCCCAAAAAATGCTGTAAAAAAGGTTTTAATGAACTATTAATATTATTATTAACCCGGGCCTCCTCCACTACAGCCAACCATCTTCTGGCATCCAGTCGCTTTAGATCGTCTTCTACATACTCCAGCCATCTGATCCGAGGGTGTCCTCTACTTCTTTTGCCATCCGGCTTTTCATAGAGCATTCTCTTCGGTATTCTTACCTCAAGACCTATTTATCTTTTTATCAATGCCATAATATCGGGTTCTCATTACAATTCACGCAGCTCCTCATTCCTTCTTCTTCTCCAAATTTCATTCTCAGCGATTCCGCTACATTTCATCTCAATACTTTTTTTCTCCCAGGAGTATGTGGTCTGAGTTTTTGGTTAAGGTCCAAGATGAATACAAAACTTTAATCACAAACAATTCAAAACGTACATAATTTTTCCAACAAAAAGAAAAAAATATATATCTATACCTTTATAAAAAATATATCCTACCTGTGGTTCTGTCATTGTAAACTATACCTTTCTGAAGATTATTGATAAATCCTAATCTGTGTCAAAGTGTTTATTAACTAACATATGTGTATAAATAAAACAATGTTGCAACAATTAACAATTATATATAAAAGAACAAGTACAACTTTATTATCATCATACACTTTAGTACATGGACCCACGACAAGAACCCCATTCTAGGATTTCTCGTATTAATTATAACATAATTATAATATTATAATACCATTTGGTCGCTGACTAATACACTACGCGAATTATTCTCATCGGCCAATAAGTAATGTATAAACTCTCTCCTCTTTTACTTTCCTCAAAGTAAGATCAATAAAATCGGAAATAAGTAGAACAATAGAAACGATTTAATCCACCAAAGAAGAAACACGCAAAAAAGTTTCTCAGTAGTTAGGAAGACACGAAACACCTGAAATGAGAAGACAATGAGAGAGGAATAGCTAGAAATGGATGACAAGCATGAAAGAGACGTCTCCCAAGAAAGCTTCGAAACCTTGACCTGAAAAATTGGGCGTTCTCAAGTACTTTCACACGAGCTGGTACCACGACCCGGCCGCTGGAGGGGAAATGACTGGGAATTACCAGTTGTGTGCTGCCACCAGGCTGGCATATCATCGGTGATTGATGGCGAGCAGGGGATAAATGGTATACCAGCCTCTATAATGAGACCTGGAGGCTTCTCCAGGCATCTTAAGGACCGAGCTAATGTTTGGATTCCATCCTATTTAGGTTGATACCTCCAGCTCTCTAGCGGCTCTGTCAACAAACTCGTTTTTTTTTTAGTTCGAGTCCTGAGCATTTTATCGCTGCTATAGGTTTACTTGTCGGTATAGGTTTTCGTTAACTTTCAATAAAGACTTCAACGTTCATTCATATAAGCCTTTAACATTTATTCAATTATTTTTTTGTGAATGGAACAATACTTCGAATCTTAACTAAAATATTTTTCGAAATTTACCTATGGTTGTTGATAATTTTTTTTTTCAAACCGATAATTTGAAGGTCACAGCTCCTTCATCTTTCTTTCAAGAAATCTAACATTTTCTAGCACTATGAAATTTCAAATATTATACTTTCTGTTTCATTGTTAGAGTAAAATGTGTCCAGTATTTCATAGGAGGCAGTATAATGGAAGACTAGGAGGTAATTTTGTGGAATAAAACAGAAACGGAAAAAAAATACTAGAATAATTTTACAAAAACTTAAAAGAGTATTTAGTATTAAAATTTTATAAGTGTATGTTATTTCTATTAGGTAATCTAATGTGTTGTTAGGCAATTGATTATAAAAAAAACTTCTCCCAAGTAAGGTCAGTATAGCTTCCTCACCGTTTTCATTGTATATTACAAGGTATACAATTTTTCGTATGATAATAAAATCTCGGAGAAGTCGAATCGGAAATACATTTACCCTTCAACATTCAACAAAAGAGTGCCGTATTTGAAGAATCCATATTTGATTATTTTATTGATTGAACAAAAAAAAAAAAAAATACATACTGAATATGAATTTCAATACTGTTAGTGCAAAAGGTCTTATGTAAAAATTTATTATTTAACAAGAGTGCATAAAAACTCATTATTTCTTTATGCTTTATTAATATAATTTCATATTTTATTGTCATCTAAATGGAAAGAATCTATTCTTATTCCGATTCACAAAAAGGGTCCGAGGACGGATTGTAATAACTATCGAGGAATTTCACTCCTTCCGGTATGTTGTAAAATATTCACTTTAATCTTAACCAGTCGAATCACGGAATACGCCGAGGAAATTATCGGAGACTACCAATGCGGATTTAGACGGAATCGTTCGACTATTGATCAAATATTTTCTTTACGGCAAATATTAGAGAAAAAAATGGAGTATAACGGTATTGTTCACCAGCTGTATATAGATTTTAAAAAGGCTTACGATTCTATTGACCGCCAGAAACTGTATAATATTCTAATCGAGCAGGGGATTCCAAAAAAACTAGTAAATCTAGTCAGGATGTGCTTGACGGAGACACTCAATAAAGTTAGAATCGGTAATAATTTGTCCAAAAAATTTGAGGTTCGTTCGGGTTTAAAACAGGGGGATTCTCTTTCGCCTGTCCTGTTCAATTTGGCATTAGAACATGCCATTAGGGAGGTAATGCGAACCGAGAAAGGGTTGGATCTGGGAGGGACAACATCCGTGCTGGGCTATGCTGATGATCTGGTACTGTTAAGCGAAGACGTTGAAACTATAAAACTAAATACGACAACGTTAATGAAAGCCGGTAAAGAACTAGGACTCGAAATAAACGTGGATAAAACAAAATATATGGTTAGCTGCAAAAATGGCGATACTACTGCTGATATCGATATAGATGGTAATATGTTTGAACAGGTAGATATATTTAGGTATCTAGGTTCTACGATAACTAGAAAAAACGAAATTGAAGAAGAGATTAAGGTTAGACTGAAGGCGGGGAATGCTTGTTATTTTTCTGTGACAAAACTACTTAGTTCGCGCCTCTTGTCCGAAACTTAAAAATTAGAATCTATAAAACAATTATCTTGCCTACAGTTCTTTATGGATGCGAAACTTGGCCGCTTACATTAAGGGATGAGCAGCGTCTTAAGGTTTTTGAAAATAAAGTATTGCGTAGAATATTCGGACCGAAGAAGGATGAGTTAACCGGAGAGTTCAGACGGTTACACAACGCCGAATTGCGTGAGCTGTATCCGGATAATATAATTGAGGTAATTTCATCGCGGCGAATCAAATGGGCTTGTGAAGTTGTTGGGCTTATTAACGAGAGAATTCCTAAAAGGTTAATATTTGCTGTGCCGAATGGTAAGCGTCCGAGGGGTAGACCGAAGCGAAGGTGGGAAAATTGCATTAAAGCCGATCTGAATGGACTGGGTTTGGACGGCGAACGGTGGAGGGAGGTGTGTAACAAGCGATTGGTGGTGTCGGCATCGAACCTTCGGGTTCGCTAAGCCTTATTATTATTATTATTATTGTCATCTACTATTTTCCATAGTAGCAGACTACTTATATCAGTTGCAGACTACAAACTGTCATCTTTAATACAAATAGAATAAAAGTTGAAAATTTTTACATACGACGCTTTGCAGTAATAGTAGTGACATACACTGGCGGATCCAGATTTAATTTTGGGAGGGAGGCTTCAACCCGAAAGATTTTTACATATATATATATATATATATATATATATATATATATATATATATATAACGATAATTAATTTGAAAAAAAAAAACGCTGCAAATTATTTCACAATAGTTTTTCATTTCCACACAATTGTACACCTAAAGTAACATTACCTTCCTAGTTATAAATAAAAGGTGATTCCAGTAACACATTCAAAATTTAAAAACCAAAACAAAAGATTATATATATATATATATATATATATATATATATATATAAGGAGCGGGGTGGCTCAGTGGTAGGGCACTCAGCTTTCCAATACAAGGGTCCGAGTTCGAACCCCGGCTCATGGCAGAAAATTTATTTATCTGTTTCATTGGCCGTGGGGCGACCTTGGGTCAGGAGTCCCTCCTGGGGCACACCCAGCCTCTATAAAGTGGGTACCCTCAATAAAGTAATTAATTAAGGGGGGGAAACCTGGCGGTTGAGCGTGATTTCGGTCAAATCACCTCCTTGCACAACCGTTGACCTAAAAACAGTGCTTTCCCTAAATAGTACTGAACCCCAGACCCTTCATGGGTTGTAGTGGTACAGGTTATATATATATACATCTGCAGTAGAATATCTTCAAAAAAACTAGAGACCATATCTTTGCTTCTAATCTTTGCTTTTTGTTCGATTTTTTTTTTTAATTTTTTTTTTAGAAATTCCGTAAACTTTTAAGAAACTATATACAATATCAGCAAAAAGTATATGATTTTTGGGTTATTCGGAATCTAATTATACCACTCCTCGTAACTTTTTTTCCTAACTTTAATTTTAACTTGACTTAATTTGATCGATTTGACTACAGAAAAACAGACAGAAACAGAACCGAATTTGATCCTTGATGTCAGAAACGTAAAACACGACTGGAAATTTTCGATTCTGAGCACAAAAGTTTGTTTAAACTCTCGCACGAACACAATGCTTCCCTACCTTCGGTAGTGAGGAAGCAATAGTCAATACATGAAGAAAAGTTAACAGTTTAACGATAATGTACCCTGATATATGGTATATTAATGATTGAACTGAGAAATACAAATTTTGAAAGAAAAATTATGGGTGTAGCTGGGAATAGGTATGAAGATCTTGCGAATCCAGGAGACAATTATGAATTGTAAATGCATGATGTATTATTCTAAGTATACGTATGATGATGTTTAGATGAATATTTGATAAGATTTTTTGAAGTGGTTTGATAAACCTGAGACTAACTTGAAGGATATTTTTAGGGTACATTATCGCTAAACTGTTAACTTTTCTTCATATATTGACTATTTTTATAATCAATTACCTAACGACACAATAGATTACCTAATAGAAATAGCCCACACTTATCCAATTTTAATATTAAATACACTTTAAGTTTTTGTAAAATTATTAGTCTTTTTTTTCTCCATTCCTGTTTTATTCCACAAAATTACCTCCTCATCTTCCATTATCAGGACCTCCTGTGAAATCCTCCGCCCCGTCAAGGTACTTCTTATGACAGCGCACGACCCCTTCGGAACGTGTAATATTCCTGACAGTCAACCCGTACCAGGATCTGAGTAATTTGCGACCCGCCAGCCTTCCATCCCGTGCCTCTTTAGCCTCACCGATTTGTCATAGCGAAAGCAATCGCATTGTGCCGGCGAAACCTCCACGCCAATTGAAATCTTCACGTCCATTTTCTTCAATCCTACCTAACCTACTTTCTATTTTAATATTCAAATATTAAATGTAAATATCAAATGCCGATGCGTGTGATTAGAGTTCCTTCATTTTAATATTATATATATATATATATATATATATATATATATATATATATATATATATATAAATATATATATAGACAAAAGTCTAGTGCTGCTTGGAGG